AAGGGAAGGGGGGGGACGGGGTGAAGGGAAGGGGGGGGACGGGGTGAGGGGAGAGGGGTGGACGGGATGAGGGAAGGGGATGCCTGGGATGAGGCGGAGGAGGTCCCCGGAATTAGAGGAACGGCGTGATGGGAATGAGGGAAAAGGGGTGCCGGGAGATGAACGGACCGGGCTTCCCAGAGGCGAGGGAAGGGGGAGGGTGGGGCTGAGGGAAAAGAGGTGCCCGGCATGAGGGAAGAGGGGGCGTCGGGGCTGAGGGGAATCGTGGAATGGTTTAGGTTGGAAGAGACCTCAAAGCTCATCTTGTTCCACCCATTGCCACGGGAGGGAGGGACACCTTCCATTATCCCAGGTTGCTCCAAGCCCTGTCCAACCTGGCCTTGGATACTTCCAGGGATGGGGCAGCCACAGCTTCTCTGGGAAATCCATTCCAGCCCCTCAGCCCCCTCACAGGGAGGAAATTCTTCCTGATATCTATCTAATCTAAACGTACTCTCAGTTTGAAGCCATTCCCCCCTGTCCTATCACTCCATGCCCTGGTATAAAGTCCCTCTCCAGCTCTCTTGTGCTAGTGCCTTGAGGCACTGGAAGGTGCTCTAAGGTCTCCCTGCAGCCTTTGCCTCTCCAAGCTGAACAACTCCAATAGAAGGGTGCTAGGTGTGTTCAGGGCACCATGGAGTAGGTGTCCAATCGCTCCTGCTCCAGGACCCCTGGGGTCACCTCATGGCCTAGCACAAGCCCGTGGTGGGTTTGGTGTGTGCACTGCTACCAAAATCTCTGTAATAATCAGCTTCATGTTTTCATTTTTATTTCCTTTTCTTGAAGTCTTACTCTCTCACGTTGTTACCAACTAGACAGCCCAGCAGGTGTGTCCAGGGAAGACATGTTCCCCTCTCAGGCAGGTGAGCCACTGGCAGTGCTGGTATAGAATTTTTAATGCCCACATCAGTAACCATGGCCCCAGTTACCTATTCCTGCAGGAGTTAGTAACTGGAGAGCACACAGAGAGCTCCTTCTCTTACCTCCTCCTCCACACACAGCTGGTATAGATATTGCTGCACATTGTTAAAATCCCACCTGAGTAAGAGCAGAGCCATCGCTTTTGGACCAGTCAGGAGGGTCAACGTTTTACTACTGGCATGGATACAGTGCTATTGCTCCTGAGGGCTCATCCACTTTGGGGATGCTCTGGGCTTGTCACCCGCTGTCCCTGGAGTTGATGTGTTACTTCAATGTAGCAGAAGGTGTAAACTGTAAATGGTTTTCAGGAAAGACTGCAGGGCTTATATTTGACTCTGTGCTCCTGCATGGTTTTAATACAGCAGCAAGGCTTTGCTTTCTGTAGCCTTTCCTTACAGCCTTTCCTCTTGGTAGTTGCTATTCCAATGAAAGGCTTCCCATGTTTCTTAAAAACATATATAAATGAGTTTATATCATGAACGCTTGTTCATTTAAACATTGTTAAAGATCCAGCTTTAACAATGTCAGTTTTAACCTTAGCAGCCAGGAAAATCTGAGTTTTAACCAATCAAGACAGAGTTTCTCAGTGCAGTAGGGATTTTCTTCCCACACTGTCTGTTACTATCACTGCACAGCTATTGCAAGTGTGTGTGTCACATACTCCTTTAGCAAGCAACAGGATGGCTGTTGCCACACTGTTGCATTCCAGAGGATCCTGGCTGTGAAAATCAGCATGCTGTGCTATTCTCTACCTTTTTTTTTATTCTGTTGCTTCAGAAAAAGAAAAGTTTGTACGGGTATCTCTTTCCTTTGGCTTCTGTGAAGGGAAGAAACAGACTTTGTTGACAGTGGCAGTGGCACACCCCGTTCTCACTACCTGAACAGGGTTTGTGAAAGGTTTGCAGCCAGTGTTTTCTCCTTCCTCATCTGCTCAGTCCAGATGACAAAAACTCAAGTTATCAGCTTTTCACACCATGGATCCTGGGTGCCAGATGGAAGAGTCTGTAAACAGAACTAAACTTTTTCCTATTTTAAAAACCCATTAACTTGTGTTTCACCTGTCTGGGCCAGTGATTTTTAAGTTTGTTTCCAGGTTTACCTTGTCATGCTCAGGTGTTCTCTAAGATAATGCTCATTTTTTGTTCTTCCACAGGTGGCTTTCACCTCCATTTCACACTGACCTGGTGATCAGGTGTTTGACCCAGTATAGATCTGTTCTCTGCTGTGAGATGAGGAGCTACAGAGCCTCTAGAATCACATATAGGTAAAGTAAAATCTAAATCTGCTCACATTTATAACCTTTTGGAGTGTGTGGAGGAGCAGATGCTTGGGTGAGGAGTTTTAAAGAAACACAAAAGGTAACTTGTTTCTTCTGTTAGAGCAAGGGAAAGCTGATATTTGAAAAACTTTCCCAAATGAGCCTCTGCTTTCCTAAGCTGCATTTCTTTTGCGCTCCAGCTAAAGGAGCAAGAAGGTAAAGGAGTGTAACTGACTGCAAAGGAACCACTGAAGCTTTTTACACAGTCTCCACTGGAGTAATGGAGTATTTTACAGCTTTTGGTGCACTTGTGCTCAGAAGATAACCTGCAAAGTCAATATTGTTCTCCTTTCACAGCTGAAAAATTAACAGAAATTAAGTTACTGACCCCAGTTCACAGAGCGGATTTGTGTTTTTCAATGTTTTCCCAGTCGAAAAAGTACCTTTTGTGGCACAGTTACAACAGCACCTGTGGCAATACCAACAGGTGAAGGTAGATGGCCCTAAGGCAACCTCTAGGAAGCATCTTTGTGCACCTTTTCCTGTTAATAAAAGATTAGCTCAGTATGAGATGTGAATAAATCTTCTGCAAAGCCATGAGACCTAGTGCTCCAAAATGCATCCTTTTGTTAACATTTTAAATACAGATGTCAGTTACTGCAGTCAATCAACTGCAACATACAGCTGTGCATCTCTGTAGACTGCACATTTCTATATTCTTGAAACAAATATATAACTGCCTGAAGTTACAAATGTTTTATGTATGCTTCTTTCATAACCCTAGTTATTAATAGAAAAAAGGTAAGTTTTTTTTTTACACAGTTTGTGAAAATACAACTACTTCTTGTAAAATGAAACTTTATTCTAAAATGTATCCAAAATTGCAAGACACAAGCACCATTAAACAGATAAATAGACATATATTTATGTACAGAGAGCATCAAAACACAAAACAATTGTTAATATAATTCTTATACCATTTTAATGAGTATCCATCAATAAAACTTTACAATTTAAAGGAGACTTTTCAGTTGCAAAACAGTTGTAAAATCATATGTATAAATTATGTTTACTACAATTCCAATAACAGAGGCAAAGTAAAATACAAAAATAATAATCAATACTGCAAATTCAAATACAAACCCCAAAAGTAATGCTGCACAGGTACGTATGTACACTGGATGAAGTCATGCAGCCAGGCAGTGCAACAAATTAACTGCTGAGTTTAACTTATCACAAAATGGAACCACCATGTCGGCAAACAGAAGAAAATATACTTTTGTAATAAATCATAGTGCATTTTGAAGTTAGACTTTATAAAATGATTGTTGAGTGATATACTTCTAATATTCCCCATGTGATCTGAGATCCCCCCAACTCCTTTTTCACAAAATAAAATACAAATGACAAAAGCTAAAAACCCCACTGTAGAACAGAGTCTGATGTACTGGTACCATCTTCAATTTTTTTATTTTTTTTTTTAATTCTCGGTATCAGACTTGTTTGCAAGTGTCCATGTCCACAGGGACACAGATTATTCCTTGCTACCAGAAGTAAATCTTTCACGCTCCAATGCTATCTCCATAAACTGCACCTCACACAATGCCTGGACTGCACTGGTTTGAGGAAACACAGCTGAGCCTTGGAAAAAGAACCCTTAAATCCTTAGGAAGTACAGAGAGAGAGTAAATGAATGATAGAGACACCTCATTATTCCTGAAGCTTCTACCCCTAATTGCTTTAATTACATAAATAGAGATTAACATAAGAGGCTTTTATGGCTTGGGTGAAATTTCTGCTAATTTGCTGGGCGAGTGCGAACCCCGAGTGTCCCCACAGGGCTTTGCCTTTCACAGTGCAGAGGGCTACAGACTCTTGTGTTGGTTAAAGAAAGCCTCAGGTAACTCTATAGAAAAATACCTCTGCAATGAAAATGTGTTAAAGGAACAAAAGATCCAAACAGAACCTCTGGAAAACCGTGACTTCTTGAGTAGCTGCAGTACTAAGACAAGGCTGTCACCTTTCAGGTCTGTGTTGGTTGGTGTAGCATAAACACGCAGGTAAAACTGGTTAAGTGTCAAAGTTAGATGAGATAAAATTACACAGTCTGACACCTTTTTTTTCCATTAAAATCTTAAGTGATAAGCACGCTCAGTGTTTTCACTAGGAATTTACAGCTAAAATGCTACATTTCTTTGCCGAAAAGACATTTACAGCAGCCTGTAAACTACTTAGGAGTTGCTCCCTGCATCCTTTGCGCAGCCAAAACCCCCTTTTGAGCCATCACTAACTTCCAAGACAACAGGAGTTTTGAGCTAAAAAGGGATGCAGAAGAACACCTGTATTGGGTAAATAATGTAGCAATTTTATACAGCAGCACTTCTGAATTTCCAACATGCAAGCACATGTAGAGAGAAGCTAAGAGACAGCATGCACTGCAGTGTTATGTCATTGTGCTTACGTCTGCTGAGGGCACTATGGCATTTTCACCAAGAAAAACATAAATGTTAGCCCCAGAAGACTAAAATAGTCAGTATTAATGAAGCCATCAGCTACTGTTGTAGTAAAGAACACCCCAAAAGAGGGAAGCTTGTCTGCTTGTAGCGTATAGATACTGAAGCTGAAGAGAATTACAAAGGCACAATACAAGCCTATATGTCTTGTAAATTATATATATTCATATATTTCTGCTCATACCACCTCAAGATACTGAACGGTACAATAATAATTGAAGGTACAAATGTTATTGACAGTGAAGCACTACAAATAAATGACTTCTGGAGAAGACAGCTTGTTACTTGCTACATTTTTACCCTTCCTGGTGAAAACCCTCCACTGGCTGACAACACCCATCGAGATATTCAACAGCACGATGATCCAGTGAAAAAACTGGAACAGTGTCAGATGACAGACAGAATGGCCTTACCTATCTGAAAAGCTGTCAATGAGTGGCTGCCACAACCATCTTTCCCACTGTTTTACCTTTGGCTCAGAATGCCCAGAGAAACCAGGAACAGCAACTGGAAATTCATACCCATTTTTACACAGAGCTGAGGCTGAGATAATCCACGAAGGTAACATTTTGGTTAACTTCAGTACTCGAAACACTGAACAGCAGGCAGGGATTATACCAGCACATCCTAAAACACAACTCTCAGTTTTTCTATTCATAGCAACACAAGACGTGTATCATTTCCAGCACTGAGTGATTCACAACTTAGGAAATAAAGTGAATGGATCAATATTGCTCCTGTTAAACTCATAAAAAATGACACCTAATTTTGTGGGATGGAGCTACATGGCAACTGGGGAGGCGGCTGCTGTCCCAGCTCAGCTGGGAGGACATGGACAGTCCACGAAGGTGAAAGGTGCAAGCTACAACATTTGTGTTTTTAAACTTCACCTGTTCCTAAGATCACAACAAGAACTCATACAACTGCTGTCAGGATTTTGTACCAGCAGCGCGTGAAGGAAGGTATCAAAGTGAACTGGAATGAGATGGGTGCGGTGCAGGCCTGAGCTGGAACCTGCTGTAAACAGGCTTTGCCAACCCACCGTAAAGCTGCCTGCAGAGATCTGCTCTGTTTGGCACAGGATATTCCCTCATCTCCAAACCAGCACATGAAATCACAATACATTTATCACACTTTTACAGAAAGAAAACAAAACAACATAAACTGCCATTGCTACATGTATTCTCTCAATCCTCAACCACAACCTCCTAGATTTATTCCTTAATGCTCTCAGGAAAGGAATCTTTAGCCACACCCGGAAAGTATGAACATTAATACCTTAGTTCCAAGCTCACAGGTGAATTTAAAAGCTGCAGACGCTATTGCTGGTGTTGATTGATCTATGCAATGGTTTCTTCATGTGTTGCTTACAATAAATGAATCGGTGCAGGCAACGAGGGAGCCCACTTAACAAATAAAGGTGAGCATTTCTAGGCAGGTGTAAACCTTCCAACAAGTTAGTTAAAGTTACACCTGTTCATAAAACCTGCAGTAAAAATAAAAGAGCAACTATGGGGCAGAAATCTAATGTTTAAGATTGAATTCAGAAACTCATCTGTAAGCCGCTCAGATTCAGGTTCAAAGAACCTGCACTGTTCCTGTCCTTACCAAGCTCAAATAAATAAACTTTTGTGCAGAGGTATCTAAAGGCAGTTGTAAACTCATGGATTCATCCCACCTAATTCCAGCTGTTCATCAGTGGCGGGGGCAGCTGATGCCATCATACAATCTTCCAGAGGCATCTCCTCTCCTGTCCCTCCTCTGACTTACACAGGAGACCCAGGATGGTAATTTTTAGCCAGCTGAGATTATGGCAGGATGAATCAGGCCACAGTGTGGAGCGGAAACAAGTCTGATGTGGTGGCACAGTATCACCATGACAAACTGTCTGTCACAGTCCTGCCTGAGGCTCCAATGCAGACACGCTCTGGGTCAGTGACCCACACTATCCGTGTCTTTACAGTTCCCAGTCTGGCAAGGAACTTTTCACAGATAAAAAACAGTGAGGCTTGACTTCATGATGATCCCCCAAAGCCAGATCCGAGGCCATGTGGGGTGGGATCGCTGTCAGGCAGCATCCACACAGGCTGCTGACTTCCCAAACCCATCCCACAGGCTGCTCTGAAAATACAGACAAGGTCTGGAGGAGTTTGTAGCTGGAGTGGTTACTCATCCTAACACAACACACACACATGTTCACGTATTTATGATGCTGTGGGAAGTTTGTATCTCCACGCCTCAGCTACGGCATGGATTGGCTCTTTGCGGTAGCTGTCAGTAATGAAGATGAAGTACACACTGAGGAGAAATACAGCGGTTCTGTAACACACAACATTTGTGAGATCCCCAATATTATCAATATTAATGCTTAAGGTCAGAGGCAGTATCGAGTTTTGCATGCACTTTCTACATTAATATTTATATTGACAAGTTTAATTCTTGCTGGTTTGCAAAATTACTGAGGTTTCCATTACTTCCAGAGACTGGAACATT